TGTGGTAGCGGCCGGTTCACATCAGATTGTAGAAAGTATAGCTCTAGAGAATGTATAGGTCACACAAATTGAAAGGGATCAATCATCCTGTAAACACTTGCAGGTCGCACAATCGATATAGACCCGTCAATCCCTCAAGATTGAAAGAGGCCTCTTTCGCATCGGCTTTGTGGGGTGTACGCACCAGTCCCAAGGCCGATGCCACGGCAGACCGGGCGGCAGGCGGGCTCGCCCCGGGCATCGCGCCGCCGTCCCTCGGCGCGGGGACATCGAGCTGAGACAGGAATCAGAAAACCTACAAATCGATAAACTGGCCATGCAGAGCGGGCCTAGCCTCACCGGCGGCGGTCAAACTGCGTCTGGGTGCACACTCGCGACCAGCGCCAGCCCTGGTCTTGCTGCGGCGAGCAAACGGTGAGCGGGCGCGGCGTGGGTCGGCGCAGGACGGCGCAGGACGGCGCAGGGCGGCGCGGGTCGGCGCAGGGCGGCGCGGGGCGCGGCGCGTGCACCTCGCCTGACCACGAGGCATTAGCGCCACTAAACTGGCCCGCACTATACCCGGTGGGCCACTACTTTCTCTCTCCATCTCTCTCTCTCTCTCTCTCTCTCTCTCTCTCTCTCTCTCTCTTTCTCTCTCTTTCTCTCTCTCGGACGACCGCTTTGCCAAGCGCCCAGAAAGCCCGCGAAACCTCCTGGTGTTTAGGTGTTTAACGAGGCCAGGAGCTCGGCCCAACTTAACTTGATAAATTATAAACCGCGGTGGGGTTGGATGGCGGAGGCCGGCCCCATTCAGGGCGCAGGAACATTACCTACCATGAAAACGGCAGCTGGCTCCAGTTTGAGGTAGTTGGCCGAGGATATCAGAGGAGATTAACGAACACAGGAGTAGGTAAATAGAATTTTCTTGTAATTTTTTAGAATACCTATTCCTAGTTGACATAAATTATTGCAAGAGCCTAACATAAATGTACATATCTCGAATTTGCGGGCAGGTACACTATATCTAAAGTGTATATTCGTATCATACATTTTATGTTGATATTTAACAATCTAGTGTGCGTCGGTTCATTCAACACTGAACTATATCATTGAAAAATCTCCTTTTATAAATACAAAACGAAAATTGTACGAATGCAATCGTTTCTACGGATAAAGAACGTTTACATTATATTTGGTTTCACAGTTTTACTCCACTCTCGACAGTGAGTCGATGTGCACCTTAAAACGAGACAGTCTATACATACGTTACTATCACAAGAGAGCTTTAAGAGGATTTTGGTGATTTCACAAATAAGCTTATTTAAACATCTAGATGCATACTTGTCCTGCACCACTATTTTTCCTTATTTTCACCTTACCGACAAACAACACTCGATATGACATTAGAAAATCCTGGCAGACTAGAGAGAGTTATTAAACGAGTTGGCGAGTACCACGAAATGGTGATGGAAAAACCTGTAAAACCTACCCAGAAGCGCACGTGACAGGACAGCTGGCCTGATAATCCTACTTTGCTTCCGTCTATCCTTATTTTCTTTGGTCAGTAAATGGATCGTTTAAGATAAAGACCACATTTATATGTCATATTTTTGCTATCCCGAAGCCATAGACTAGAGAGACAAGATAGCAACTGTACTGATTACGTCAAAATTCTCATAACTGAGTTTGAATTGCGGATTGGCGAGTGGTTACACTGTGAAAAATAGTAGGTAGGTTTACAGGAAAATTTTCTTTGACGCAAGTTGTAAAATTACAATTTGACATCATAAAAATACATGCAGTACGTATCGACTTCAAATCCCTTGGCGAGTAAAAAATCTGCTGTCGTAAGTTTACAACTTAGATTATAATTAGAGTTTACAAAAATTTTGTCAATTTTCCGACGATATTTTTCACAGTTTGCATCGTCAGATAGACTCGCCTGGTTTATATCATTGTAATTGTCTATATCTGCAGTTCTTAAGCTGAGAAGAAACAGTAATGCTGGGAACAACAAAACGAAAGTCACTATGTTATAGCATAGTGATTTCCGTTTTCTCATTCCCGGAATTCTTCATTGTTTTAACTTTACTAGAATAGTTTAATCGAAAGAGAAAGTGTATAAAAGTCACTTAACCGAATACCACAATATACGCATCTCATTTGTGAAACCACCCAAATGTGAGAGAAAAGATGCACACCACAAAACGAACGACGAAACAAAGGGAGAAAAGTCACAAAAGCACTCCTTGACAACAGAGACGGAGTACATAAGTGTTCACGAGCTTCTTGAGTTCAAAAGGAAACCATGGTATCCCCACATCGCAGAGGTTGCGCAAAAGTTCAGCCACATTGGTCACCGTGAGATCGGCAAGAGTAAATACAATGTTCAGTCTTGGAGGACGTAGCGGTCGTCGCGCGCGCACCACGGTTCGCCTCACGCAAAGTGCAGGTGATGCGCACTGTCCGCTTCGGGTTCAAAGTGGTGGCCTTCAACTTCGTCGTCATAAGGGCATCCGGGGATCGGGACGTCAGGGTCGTAGACTGCACCATGGACGTGTGCGTGGAGGGCGTGGCGGCCGTGCTTGGGGCAGCCCTCGGGCGGGCCACCCCCGTGCTGCTACCCACCCAGCCGCTTGAAGCTGTTGAGCTGCACGAGAGACTGGTTGTCGGAGCTGGGCGTCGACTCGCGCCCGCGCACGGGCTTGGTGCTGCCGCGACAGCGGAGCGCGAACCGCAGCTCCAGCAGCAGAGCCTCTTTGGGGGAGATCTTATGCTCGATGGCCACCTTGCGCGTGTTGAGCACAAACTCCACGACGGCCACGAGAAAGGCGAAGGCGCAGCCGGAGATGAGCACCACGAACACGCCGCCTACGTTGTCTAGGCCGAGCTCGTTGGCCGAAGCGTCGGTTGCAGCACTCTCTTTCTGCAGAAGTATACGGAAAATTAAATTACAGAGGAAAACTCTAGACATCATCGCGCACGCGTTTGAGCGTGTTATTATTCAAATAAACACAAGAAGCTCCTTACCGTCTGGAAATCCAATGTGACAGCAAGAAAAGAAAACACAACGGCGTTAGTTAACGAAAGGTAGATGCATCCCCACGCGCATTCATTCTCTCTCTCTCTCTCTCTCTCTCTCTAACATACACACACAAGGTCTCGCGTAATAGGCTTCGCAAAATCTAGCGAAACACTGATTCGCTAAATATGCTGCAACGTAACGCCCATAATAATTGGCCCGCAATCATGGTGGAGATACATCTTTCAACGGAATGACTGTTGTGCAAGTCTTGAGAAAGTTTCTATTAATTGCTTTAGAAGGTCTAAATTACGGTCCAGTATCACAGACCGTTTAAGTATTTCCTTTGCGGTTCAGACCATAAAATTAAACACGGTAAGACAGAAGCAGTTCTGTATATTTGGGTACACTCTTTTGGTAGTACGGCGCGAGTGACCGAGTGACGCACAGAAGCGAGTCGCACGTGACGTTGAATGCTCACCTGACAGCGGCCTCCACCGCGCTTCTTCTTCCACCACTTCTCCTTGAGCTCGGCTAGCCTCCCCGTCTCTTGGAGCTTTAGCACTGCGCCCGAGATGAGCGTGCGGTACCACGAGTCTGCGGAAAAAACAACAAGAAATCAGCATAACGAACGACTAACCACCCTCACGGATGTCCACAAGTTGTGACTGTGACGCACGCATGGGCATGGCGATGCCGTAGCCTTTGGAGTCGAGGTGGTTGCCGATCTGCATGAGCTTGCAGTTGCGCTCCACCACGTACTCGATGGATGACGACTCCATGAGGTAGGCGTAGCTTCGCTTGGACTTCAGCACGCGCTCCACGCCCTCCGTGTTGGTCTTGGGAAACACGGAGGGCCGTGAGGACTCCATGGAGGCCCACATGCGCTGGTAGTCCGAAAAGTTGGAGTTCTGTAACAGTCGGTGTTAGGGAGTGGCGCTTTTTAAGCAACTTGTACGCGGCAGCTTGATGGTGATGCTAGGCTCAGGTCACTCAGTCGGTCCATGATGGCTTACCTTGAAGAAAGCCTGGGTGGAGCCGCCGTCCACGCAGCCGTACTTGATCTTGTTCTGCTGCGCCAGGTCCTTGGCCGAGGTGATGGTGTCGTCCATGCGGTTGACGGTGAGGAAGGCGGCCAGGTTGGCCGTGTAGGAGGAGATCATGATGAGCGTGAAGAACCACCACATGCCGGCGACCATGCGCGTCGACACGGCCCTGCGGAAGTCAACATTTAATTAATCCGAGAAATCTCTAATAAGTATCCAATCATAACGGTCCATCCTTGTTGACCTTATACTGAGACCCCCGGAGCCCCTAAGGGGCTAGTCGCCTTATAACTGCGAGGTGACATCTGGGGCTCGATGTTGTGAGAAGAGTTGGCTTACTGCCTGGGGGGGGGGGGCGGCTGTATGACAGGGGGCTGCTCTACTCGCAAGGGGTGACCCCACGAAAAGGACCCGCACCCCGCGTGTGAAGTGCAGCCGAGTCCAGTACTCACTTGGGTAGGAAATCGCATCCCTGCTGCAGGAACGAGCCCATGGCGAACCACATGCTGTTGATGAGGGTGAAGGTGTTCTGCAGCTCCTCGGGGTGCGGGTTGCACGGGTGCGGGTTGTCCCACTCGTAGGGCGACGTCCTATGGGACAAAATGCCACGCCGCGGTTCACATCGGCCGGTCAGAGAACGGTCACAACATTCCGACCAGTGGGTGCGTGACGGACGGGTCGTAAGAACAAAAGGGGGTCACTGCCAGACCCTATATACATACCGCGCGAGGACGAAAAGTAGTAGAGAGACGCCGACGTAGGCGGTAGCCATGTAGATCCAGACCTCGAGCGAGAGAGGCGACAGGAAGGAGAACAGGTTGGGGTCGGGCTCCTTGGGCTTCGCGAAGAGGATGGAGATACCTGCAACGTGCTTTCCGTTAGTTGTAAGGTAGTTCAAACATAACGCAGATGAACACCCGACGATCGATCGGCCGCCGGCACTTACCCAAGTTCATGAAGGGCATGGTGAAGTCCACGGCTCTCTCCCGGTCATAAGTTATTGTCAGGTCACAAATTCCCAGATCCGCTTTCTGAAAGAGAAAACGCCAGTAAAAATGAAAACAAATCTAACAGTGTCGCGACTTTGTACTCGTCCACAGAAAAGAGTTCACGAAATATTGTTTTATTTGACAAAGGAGTCACTTCGTAGACTAAAAGTAATAAAAAGAGGCCTCCGTAATACAAAACTACTGCCTTGTAATAACGATTTTTGGTTCATTGTAAGCTAGCGAAAGATTGTACAACTTTTTGAGTAGTCCTTTGTCGCCTGGACTACGAACCCTGTCGAGTAGCTCCTTGATGATCCCGTCCCATTGCTTTGTCACGGGGTTCAAGCTGCCGTATTTGCCGTCCTTCACCAGGTGAAACTCGTACTTGAAGTTGAGAATTTTCGATATCTCGTCAATTAGGTCCATTGAGTAGCCCTCCAAACCAGCATTGCCGCTCCCCTCGGTGTAGTTATCTAGCTTCATGAGGTAGGGTGGCCCCTGTAGAACACGAAGAGCCAAAAAAAATATCATCGTCCTGATATATCGGAAACAGAGACGAGAACACGGGTGACATTTCCCCCTCAAGTTGTGGGGACATGGACCACTCACGATGCGCGAGACCACCCTCATAAACTTCTTGGACAGCTTCTGCTTTTCGGACCGCTCCATCTCCTCCACGCTCCGGAACAGGTGGATGCCCGTCATGTTCCAGATGCCTGTCGCGCTGTTGGAGTTGGTCTCCACGAGCGTGAGCGTGAAGTTGGTCCGGCGGTAGTGCGAGGCGGGGTCGAGGGCGATGAGGCCCGTCATGCCCCGCTCCGTCACGTCCGCGCTGCCGTACTTCTGCGACCCAAAGGACAGCATGAACTCTCCGCATCCAACCGAGCAAGCACACAACAACCCAAACCCTTTCCCCTACCGCCTTGATGAAGGACACGATCCTCTCGCCGTGCTCCCACGTGTCCACGCCGTCGCATCGCAGCGGCTGCTCGTAGACCTCCGGGGCTGTTTGGTTCAACAGGTGCAGCGACCTGGCGAACACGTGAACAGCGTCATACATGAGCGCCGCCGACGTCTGCAAGGCAAAGGCCATCACTCAGGAGCGTCCCCTCGTGCCCCCCACCCGCCCGGACCAAGCCAAGAGCCACGCGCGCGCGACCAAGCACCACGTGCAAGCACAAAGCGCAAGCACCGCGCGCAAGCACCACGCGCAAGTACCACGTGCAAGCCGGTGCACGCACCACGCCCAAGCACCACGTGCAAGCACCACGCGCAAGCATCACGTTCTGCACGTTAGCGGGCCGGCACCTACCTTGACGTCGTCGGGCTTAATGTTGATCGTGTTCCCGCGCAGGCGCTCGCTGAACACCCAGTCCTGGACCGCATTCTGCACCTCGACGGACGTCGGGTCCACGAGGCGCATGCCCGTGATGTTGGCGATGTTGCGCTTGTCCGTGATCCAGCTGTTGACCGCACCGTAGTCGAAGGTGTGGGCGTCCTAAGAAAGTGAGAGAGACAGAATTAGCCTTTAATGAATTTCAAGCCTTATGCACCCTACGCGCCTTAGACAAAGAAATGTACGCCCGAGCCAGAGTAGTCAAACTCACGACTGCCCGACCGAGGTAGAAGCCCCGAGACCATTTGATGACTTTCAATTTTTGAATGCAGATTAGCATGCGTTTCCACTGAGATTTCACATCACAACTGGTCCCGGTTCTAATCTCCGCCGTAGGTCTACTTCACAGAACGGTCGTTACCAGCGAGGTGACAAGGTAGCTCGTGTAGTCGCCCATCATGTTGACATGCTTCGCTTGCACGAACAGGTCGATGATCTTCTCCGGCGACACGTCAAGGATGATCCGGGACTCGGACGTGTTGTGGATCTCTTTCAGCAGCGGTCTGGTGGAAGAAACAGGGCGTAGGTTAGCTGGTTAGCAGTTAGCACACAGTCAGCAACGCCGAGAGGGGCGGGGGCGTTCCGTACCTGTAGTCGCTGCCCTCGCCGAGCTGGCGCACCGTGATGGGGTTGTCCCGCGGACCGTGCACCTTGAGCACCTCCTGCAGACGCACCAAGCCCTCGTCGTTCTCGTAGATGATGGTGAACGTCCGCCACGCCATGTCCTCCAGGAGCGCGACGAGCGCGTGCGACAGGCTCTTGGGGTCCGGGTGGATGTTGATCTGGTACTTGGCCGGGCGCGGGTTCGTGTCCCAGTGCGTCAGGAAGTGCGGGATCTGGAGCGTCTCGCAGATGGACGACACGATCCCCGAGGTCTCGGGGCTCTTGGGCCCGAACACGGCGGACACGCCCTGGCGGGTGATGTTGCACACTGCGGGACAGGAGCGGGCGGCCGTCAGAGTAGTACCGTACGGTAGCCCCAGGCGTCCCGGGGCTCGGCAGGACCAACGCAGGCAGGGCGACCAAACGAGAACTTCGCGACTCGATGACCCCAACGGCACCACCACCACGCTGTGTCCCGGAAAGCGCAGAGGACCCGGGGCACAGCGTGTAACCGACCTGAGACTGATACAGCACGATAGAGTGGCTCTTGTCCACCGTTTCGGGGGTCATCGAGTGACTGAGGCCAGGGCCGCTCGGCTGAGGGGCGTGGCCGCCCGCGGGCGGGACCTGCTGACCCGGCCAGTACTACTCACAGCGCTTGCCCGTGCTGAAGCTGTCCAACGGCGACAGGATCTCCACGACGGGCACCAGGCGGGCGTGCGGTAGCACCTGCTTGTCCATGTTGATCCGGTCCACGGCGGCGCGGAAGGCCAGCACGTCCTGCCAGTCCTCCTCGTGGAACAGCCCGGCTGCGCACACACACACACACACACACAGCTGCAATGCACACCTGACGCTAGGCGGAGGACAAATGGGTTGAACCGCAGCTGTCCCGGGCACCAGGCGCGTACGGCCCAGAGGAGGTGGCCCCGCGAGCCGCGGCCCGCGGCGCTATACCGCGCGCCGGTGGGTCCGGCGGGCCGCGGCACGAGGGGCCTAACCGCCCGCGGAGATACCCCGGCCACCCGGCGATACTCTGCACCCAGCGACTGTGCTGTACAGCCGCGGAGAGGGGGGGGGGGGGCATTGAAGTACTGCAAGGTAGGGGTACACTGGCCAACATACACAACATTGTATAACATATATAAAACCATTGTAAA